TTAATCGAATTTCTAATCGCAATTACAATTATGGATGCCACAATTACGTAATCGTTCAAAGCGGCAATTAATCGTTCAAAGTCCACTTATGTTATTCTGTACGCTTAAGATATGTTTTTTTCTTTCTACATGTTATCTTAAGGTTTTTTTCCCATTATTTTAATTTTAGTATAACATAATACCATTCATATTTTTACTTTTTTATAATTTAAAGAAACCAATCCGATGTATAGTTCACATCTGAGGCTTAATACTATAGAAAAGCACTAAGTTCTTCAGTTTGTTTATTTTCATATAAAAATACAGCACGCAGTTGCATCAAACAATGGTATAAACATCAATGTAAATTGTGATAATCGTAATTAATAAAATCGCAATTACAATTTCAAGAGAATAATCAATAATTATGATTTGTCATAATCGTGCAGCCCTAGTACAGTCATCTGTAAATATTTTTATTTTCTCAGGAATTAATTGATTTTCTTGAAGTGACAACATACAGAGCCCCCCCGCTGTGCGCATTGTCCCATTTGCAAAGTTCAATGGTCTATAAAAAAAGACTGGTACTGCATTTAAAAAGTGTTCAAAATGTGGCTCTCTTTAGGGCAGTACGTCATATTTCTAGGCCTCAAGTCTGCTTAAGTGGCTCAGTGTGCAGTCCTATATGCTAAGCTTAATGGTTTCTCATGCACACTCAAAAATCTGTATTTTTATTTTTTTGTTAAGATCCTTTTAGAGGCTCTATAATGCCAAGAATATGAGAAAAAAATCCATCCTTTTTTTTGCATAATGAAAAAGTGCACCTTGAATTCATTCAGTCACTAATCAGCTGCCATCAAAACACTGATTTTGATTTTGCCATCAAAATTAAATTTATAATTTTCTATTACAGAAAACTAAATAGGGGCAAAAGTCTGGAAATGCACACCAACTGCGTAGGAACCCTGTTTGACAATCCCGATGAGTGACTTAAATTGGCAGACATGGCAGAGCATCAACACTTCTAGGACGCATTTAGGTTGAATTTTGGCCATCTATGGTGCGCAAATTAGACATTTAGATGTAGATATCAAATGTGACACTCATATTGAACATGACACCTGTTTAGAAGAGATTGTATATAACTGGCAGCAAGGAAACAACTAGCCGGCCTCTTCCTGCCAGCATTTTGCCGCAAACCCCGTTAAACGCAGAAATACCGTATCAGAAATTGAAATCTGCTCGCTGCACAACTGTATCGAATCAAATAATACGTCTGATACGTACCATTTTGACAGATGGTTCAAGATTCGCTCGGCACTGATTTTACAGCAGAGCGCGCTGCCTTCCGCTGCTGGGGACAGGCAGGGGAGAAAGACGCGTCACGCCGCTGCGCGCTTTTATATTCAGGCCACGCTTTCAGCGTAGCGTCATGACGCACAGGCGACGCTGTTTTCTTTGGCTCCTCCTCGCGTCACACATGAGCAAAAGAAATACAGCATTGACAGCATTGGCATGACTGAAATATGGAAGAAAAAACGAAAATAAATAACTAAACAGACACATCGATGCCCATATAAATGCTTAATTAAGACATTAGTTATATAATATTTAAGTAAGTAAATAAATAATTAAATTGTCACATCCATACACATACATTTTTAAATAGGACATTTAGCTGTCTAATAGTTAAGGAACAGAATAAGTCACATTCATGCACATATAAATGCTTAAAAGGAACATAAATTGTATAATATAATTATATAATATAAAATTAACAATTCGCCTAACTCTGGTATGCTCTTTAAAACATTTTCCTCCCTCCTTTGTCCTCCTCCTCCCCCTCCTTCATCAGCTCTAACAGCTGACAACTTTGCCACATTCTTCATTAATAAAATTACAAACCTCAGTGCACAATTTGCCACACCACAAACTGTCAAGCACATCTTACCAGCAAACATACACTTGTTCACATCCTTCTCTCCACTCTCTGAGGCAGAAGTCTCCAAACTCATCCTTTCTAATCATCCTACTACTTGTCCGCTTGATCCTATTCCATCTCATCTCCTTCAAGCCATTTCTCCTGCAGTTGAACCTGCACTCACATCATTGACACATCCCTTCACACTGGTGTTTTTCCCTCAGCATTTAGACAGGCTCGTATAACCCCACTTCTTAAGAAACCCACCCTTAACCCATCTCTTTTAGAGAACTACAGACCAGTTTCCCTTCTTCCTTTCATTGCAAAAACACTTGAACGAGCTGTGTTCAACCAAGTCTCAGCCTTTCTCACACAGAACAACCTCCTTGACAGCAACCAGTCTGGTTTCAGAAGTGGACATTCAACCGAGACTGCCTTGCTCGCAGTTGTTGAAGCCCTAAGACTGGCAAGAGCGGCTTCCAAATCTTACCCCAGCTGAAGCACTGAAGCTGAAGCTCTGAAGCTGAAGCTCTGCTGTGGTGTTTCCAGCAGCTGCTGCAGTCATGGCCACACGCAGGATCACAGAGGAGACCTTTGATGCAGTGGTCAGAGAACACATCGAGGAGTTTGACATGGAGGAGAGCGAAGCTCTGAAGGAGGCCATTGAGCAGTTTGAGTCTCAGGGTGAGTTATTAAAAAAATAAAAAAATAATGAAAAATCCTTTAGTTTACTTTCATGTATCTGCTTAATTATTTTGTGCATCCTCAGTGAATATACACACATGTATGTTTATTAATTATAATATATAAGATTTTTTTATTTTAAAATGTATCTAATATATTTTTTTTTATCAAATAGATAGTGAGCATAAGACATTCTGTCAGAAACATTCAAAAATATTAATTATTCTAAACCTTTGACAGAAATAAATAAATTAGTTAATAAATTAATAGTCATATTCATGCACACGTAAATGCTTAAATATTATACAACTAATGTCCTATTTCAGGGACATCGATTGTATCATTTTTAATTAAATAACAGAATAAATAAATAAAAAAAGTTATATCAATGCTAAATATAAATGCTTAAATGGGACATTAATTGTATAATATTTACATAAATAACAGAATAAATGAAGAAACAAATAAAGAAAGATATAGTTACACCCATGCACATGTTTTTTTAATCGTATTTTTATTATTATTTTAACTTTTTTTTTTTTTATATATATACAATATCACTGTTTTTACTATATTTTTGATCGAATAAATGCAGACCTAGTGAGAGCAAAAGAGACTTACTTCAAAAAATCTCTTCCAAACTTTTGACCTTTTTGACTGCAGTGCATGGGGAGCTTTGCATTCATAATAAATGTACACATTAGAATATGTTATGCAGTATTGGTTTGTAGATATAGATGTACTGTATGTGGTGATGTGACAATGAAGTGGTTTGATTTGTCCTCACAGGTGTGGATCTCAGCTATATTGTTAAAGCAGTGCCCAAAGTCTGTTCTGAAGAAAACACAGAGGATCAAACCCACGAGGTTCTTCAGGTATGTCTTCACACACACGATGTTTTGCTGCAGAACTGAGAGACTGGTAGGCTTTGTGTCTAACATGTTATCCGTGGTATATTTCCAGGCTTTGGAGTCTCTCAAAGCTGCAGTGGCTTCATCATCTGCATCTGTTCTGGAGGATCTGAGGGTCTTCACCCAGCAGTGCTCTCTCGGCTTCGCACAGCGATACCTGGCGGCTCAAAAAGAGGCGTATCCCACGATCCTCGCCTGCTGCCAGAGAGCCGCTGGAGAGAAGGAGGCCCTTTCCGTCGCTCTCGCCGCGCTCTCGGCGCTAACAGACGGCCAGCCGGATCTCCTGGACGTGGAAGGGCGAGAGTTTTTGATCGGCGCTTTAACCGCGCACCAGACAGACGCCGCTCTCAGCTGTGTGTGTTTCCGCATCGTGCGACACTGCTGTCTGAAGCACGAGAACAACCGGCAGGGTCTGGTGAAGTCAGGCGTGCTGCCGCTGCTCACCGCCAGCATCACACGCCACATCAAACACCCCGAGGTCGTGAGGGAGGCCTGTGTCGCGCTGAGGGTCATGACCTTTGACGATGACGTGCGTGTGCCCTTTGGACACGCCCACGAACACGCCAAGATGATCGTGCTAGAGCACAACGGGCTGAAAGTCATCGTTGAAGCTGCTAAAGGTGAGCCGAGTTTCCACTGGCCATGCAACAATAAATAAATGTACTGAGGAATAATATCTGCATATTTTATAATATCTGCATATATTACACAGCCCTGCATGTTAATAAAAAAATTCAGATGAATTGCAAAAAAAGGCCTAATATTATCTAATTTGATGAAGCTGAGTTACAAAAATAGCAAAAAAATTTTTTCACAAAATAAGGTTTTTCTCAGTTGCATCTTCAGTTGTATTTTTTATAATAATATTTGGCAATATTACTGTTTTTACTGTATTTTTGATCAAACTATATACATTTATATATGTTTTGGATCAAAATTTATATTGAGCCAAAACATATACAGTGGTGTGAAAAAGTGTTGGCCCCCTTCCTGATCATATATTTATATATATTACAAAAATATGTACATTTACACACACTACTGGTCAAAATTTTGAATAATTTGGAGTAATTGGAATAATGAAGTTTTAAAAAAACATTTTTTTAATATTTTTTGTTGATTTTTTTTTGTTTGTTTGATTATGCTCACTAAGTCTGCATTTATTTGGTCAGAAATATATTAAAAACAGTAATATTGTGAATTATTATTATTATTATTAAAAAAAAATGAATGAGGAACCTCACATTTATAATTAATGTAAACATTAGGATATATTTGCTACTATTATAATATTTTGTAGATTTATGTGTATATGGTGATATGATAATGAAGTGACTTGATTTGTTGATTTGCAAAAAAATCCTAATATTACCTAAATTGATGCTGAGTTCAAAAATATCAATAACAACTTGAATGATGAATGAAGGTTTATATATATAAAACGGAGAATACAAGACTTCACTGCACAAATTGTTTTAAAATGCAACAAAATGCATCATATTTTGTGAGAAAGTGTGACATGCTCCACCAAAACAGACGCTATTTTTGCATTCAGCACAGCAAATTTAGAAACGTATTGGATTTCATTCAGCAAACATGAAGCAGGACGGAGCTGGACATATATTAGTCTATGAATGTTGATGATGTGTTGTTTTCAGCTCACCCAGAGAACACAGCAGTGCTCAGTGAACTCTGTGCCACTCTGTCCCGTCTGGCCGTGAGAAACGAGTTCTGTCAGGACATCGTAGACCTCGGGGGCCTGACGTTCATGATCTCACTCCTGGCTGACAGTCTGGATCGTCAGGTGAGCTCTGGATCAGTGAGAGTTTCAGCATCGTTTCCTATGAACACAAACAAGTCTCTTGTTGTTGTTGTGATGCGTCTGTCTTCCAGGAGCTTGTGAAGCAGGTGCTCAGCGCACTGAAGGCCATCGCAGGAAACGATGATGTCAAAGATTTCATTGTGAATGGCGGCGGGGCGGAGCTTATCGTCATGGCGATGAACCGTCACATGGCCAATGCACAGGTGTGTCCTCAGAAGTGCTATAAAATTGTATTATTGTTATTATCTAATTACTGTCCAGACGTTGTAAACTGCTTTTAAACTAAGTTAAAGTGTATTTGTTAATAATAAAACATTAATTGTTTCATAGTAAATTACTCATAAATGGGTTTTCATACACTCAACACATTCCTGCTATTTCCAGAAACATTCGGTAATATTAATACACAATTCAGTGTTTGAAATAACAGCCAAGAATGTTGAATTATATAATTATATATTTTATAATTAATATTTTTTTATAATTCTTTTTTTTATTTCATAACTTTTTTTATAGTTTTTTTTCATTATAAACATTTTTATAATTTTATATAAAGATTTATAATTATATATTTTTATAATTATATAATTAATATCAGTAGTCTGTTGCCTTGATCTGGAAGTTGAAACAAGGCTAGTTTCCACAAAGAAAATGCATGAAACAGGGTTTGCAGTAATTAGTTATTAATTATATAATCAATAGATTTACATTTCCAGTTATATACACTAGTGTTCAAAAGTTTGAGGTCTGAGATACAACTATTTGAAAATCTGGAATCTGAGGGTGCAAAAAAATCAAAATATTGAGAAAATCTCCTTT